TGAGTGTTTAGCCGTGTTTATATATCGATTATGTATTGTTAGTAATTATTGAAAATTACATACAAAAACACTTGTACATTTTCGTTATAAAAGAATTGTAAATTAAGATAACCCAAGATATGTTTCGGAGTTAAGTATAACAACATAACAAAGCAACCGGTTGTGATATCAATTATGTTCCTAAAATGTTCAGAATTCTTTTTAAAGTGCGTGTTACTAATGGTTTTAAAAAAATATCGTAAAACATACTCTTCCAATACAAAAGATGTATGAAAAATTTTAAGTATGTTCATAGTTCATTTAAATGGATATGGGGCAGTTGTATGCATGTATGTCGTTGGCATTTAATAGGAATTCCTAATGGGTACTGATGCGTGAAACTATGTATGCGGTTCAAGATATAGGATGGAAAGGCTTCTCAAATTTTTCTCGTATGTTCATCTGCTTTTAAATGCTTTAAAACTGTCGATGTACAATTTTTATAAGTCAAAATAATTATTTGACTAATCCGCCGACGTTACATCTTTTACTAAACCGTATACGAGACCTTTTTCCTTTTCAAAAAGTGTATAAATCTTTTCATAAAACTGTATTTGAGGCAGTAAATAAGAATTTTGTTTGTATAAATATACTTTGAACGGTTTGCAAACTATCTCTTTAGAGAAAACTCATCTTCAAAGGTAATGCTTCACTGCGATTACGATTCAAACAAAAAAATAAGTTTAAAATTATTTATAATATCATAGATAGTTTAAGTGACCACATGTATTGTTGCGTATGATATGTAAATAGAAATATTAAAAAAAATATTTTTGTAGTCAATCATATTTCTTTTTGTAATTTGATTTAAAAACAAAACTAAATTCCATTAAAAATTCTCTATTTACGTGAAAAAATATTATGAAACTTAATTTCAAATGTACTTTTCTACGAATTTTGTGTTGAATGGTTTCGGATACCTAACTGAAGGCGACTTCGTTACGTAGGGAAATGTAGCGCGGTTCTCTACTTTTCGTTTTTCATTTTGCAAATAACATGACATTGTTAATGTTACCGTATTTTGAGACAATCTTACAAATATTGTTGGTAAAAAAATTAATATAAAATATAACTGTCTTTTAAATAATTATTAAACATATATATTAATAATATTTACGTAATGAGTATACATATATATAAGGAAAAATAACATTATCAAAATCTATTTATTTTATATGAATAAAGCTAACTATGCAATTTTCCGCTCGACAGCGTCTCTTCAAGGTCGCTTATTGGTTCTGAAAAATATGCTAAAATATAGGAGACGACTGAATTCATTGCTTTTAAAAACATTTTTAAAAGTATAGAAAATAAATAAATACTGTATGTATAGAGCGCCAATAGCCTAATGCTTAAGGGTATGGATTCCCGATCACGCGGTCGAGAGTTCGAATCCCGCCATTCGACTATTGTCTTACACCATATCCTATCACACGCCTAGAGCTTAGTTGAAGCGGTACAAGAAATATTAGTGAATTAACGAAAATCTGCTAGTATTAAAAAATACATAACCTACATAAGTTTTGTGTATGTTAAGGTTTCATTAGTGCATATTCATCAGTCGTTGAAACACAATGTACAATAGATAAAGAAAAAGAAAGGTAAAGTACCGTTATTTGTTAAACACGCAAAAGTGAAATTTCCTTCTCTATAAATTTAACAAAATGGCTGATTGAACCAGAAAATTACTCTGAACAACGTTATATTAATAATATTATATATTGATACGTAAGACTTATTAATATAGTATAATATTAACCTTAGTCCCCGCCTACGAATCACCCACGTAGAGGCCGCGTAGCAGCTTTGTAGAGCTTTAAAATTGTGTACTTTCTTCCTACTTTTATCATTTGATTTTCATAAAATGTATTGTTCAAATTAGGATATTGTTTGATAATATTAATTATAATTCATACATGTAAATAACAAATACATTTTTGATTTTTTTTGTAAAACACTAGAAATTGTCTGCGACTTTTTCAGTGCGGTATTAAAAATCTAGTAAAAATATAGCCTATATCATCCAGGGATAGTGTACTTTCCCAACAGTGAAAAGTTTCAATACAGTAGTTTCGAAGCCGCTTCAATACAAAAAAACAAATAATCAAGTCTCTACTTTGTGTTATATTTGTATGAGTAGTGTCAGTGTCAATAGATAAATAGTTTGGGTAGAGAATTCACTTATTTTTAATTCAAACACAGTTCTTTGGTATTATAAACAATTTATACATAATTACATTATTTTATTTTATTTTATAATTATGTTTTCAAAATTAATATGAAAAACATATATTTGGTAACCCTTTACAATGTTAAAAGTTACTATTGACACCGTAGCGGCGTATCATTTCGTAGCACACAAGGCGTAGCATCGGAGTCCTGCTTCCGTTGGTACCAGAATAGAACCAGTACACAGACCAGGCAGATCACCACAAAATACACCAGCATGAATAGAAAGTATAGCTGAAAAGAAAAACAAAATTAGGATACGATTTTTTATGAATCATTAAGTATCCTAATAAATTATTAGATAATAATACTTTTTAGTATCTTATTTATTTTTAAAGATATTAAATTCACGAAAAGAACATAATAAAGTGTTTAAATTTTTAAGCGCATTTGTTTTACAAATTATTATATTATTTATTAATTTTGGAGAAAAGTTAAAAGAAACATTTGAAATTATTAATCAATTATTAATTTAAAAATAACACTAATGTATAAACTCATTCCATTTAAAGCTTTCATGTTAAGTTTGCATGATAATGCACATCCGAACTCATCAACATTACGAACGTCTGAAAGTACACAAAAGACTTCAACAGCGGACGCCCTACTTAAGTTACCAGAGTACACAATATTCTTGTAACAATCACATCACTAAGTTAACACGCATGCGTCAAAAGACAAACATAAAGATAAATTAGGACTATTTAATTTTCTTGTTCACTGATTTTAACATAGAAAGTAATAGTGGAAAGTAACTCACTCCGAAATATGCAAGCAAAGTAGTATAAGGAGACATGGTGTTCATAATCTAACCAATGGTATACTGAGTTAATGTTACAGAATTGGAGGCATTTTGCCAATTTTCCAATGCTGATATTATTTTGTGTGTAGGAAAAGTGTTTATTATGTAACATATCAGAGTAACAGTAAAACATCTTGGTAGACCTTGACATATCGAAGATATATAACCAATTATTTAATTTAATAAAATTTGAATATTATGTTATATTTAAAATTACTTATATATGTAGAATTCCTCTTAACGATATCAGAGAAATTGCAAATGCATTTAATGTTTAAAGAAAATTTTCTTCTTATTAGAATTTACTTTTAAATATCACAAAGGACTTTACATCTTACTAATATCATAAATGCTTGGATTGATAGATGGATGATTGTTAGAAGCTATCTCCAGAACATAGTATGGAAGAACACATAGGCTAGTAATTAAGTTTTATTTAATTCCACGCGGACGTAATCGCAGGCGACAGCTATTCAACAATAAATGCTTTATACATTTTAACTTCTTATCTTCCAGTGTAGGTTACGCTATATGTAAATACGTATGCAAACCGTTGATCATTCATTGGAATTGCAATCAAGTTATTATGACATTAATTTTGTTTCGTTCGATTTTAATTTTACAGTTTGTAAGCAATCTGAATGGATTCGTACAACTGTCAATAACGAAACTGTTAATTGCTTGATTTGTGATTTACAGTAACTGTAATAATTATATTAAAAACAAAATGAGTTTCTTATCAGTGGACATAATTTATAATTAGTATACGAGTATGTATGTGTACTGTAGGATAAACATAAATTATATTATACATTTTTGAAATTGTATTTTTCGTAAATTTTATTAAAGTATGGTAAAAGTAATTTATATAAGAAATTTCACACGAGCATGAAATAATAATTCAATCCTTTATTTTTATAATTTCGATTCACATTAAAATTAAATATAAAAGATATTCTGGAACTTATATACGTGATATAAATTAAAAAATAAATTAAATGTACGTCACAATCTTCTTTAGCTCGCATTTTAACATCCTCCACATGAAACTTATTATTCAAATGTTATTTGCATAACCATTCCGAGCTGCTTTCTCTCGTGTGCAACATCTAGCCGACAAAATTAGCTAGCTAAACTAATTTTTTAGCAAGTTTTAACTTAACAAGGTCCTTTGAAATTATTTCACAAAATTTTAACTTACGGAAAACTAACAAGAGTTATAATTTTTTTTTAGAGATTACTACGCAGTAAAAGAAATATATAGTAACGATGTTACTTAGAATATGATACGCAATTTATGTTTAAAAAGCATCCAAAGATTTTAGTTTCATTTCAAGAAGACATTAAGAGTCACAATAATAAGAATAGAGTCGTGCGCAAAAACAACTAACTCTTGGATTATTTATCTATCTATACAATTAATAATATTGGAGACATACAGACAGCATGCAATTCGAAATAAAATCATATTTCGTAAACATGACATATTTGTGATGCTTTTAAAAAAAGTAAAGTAAAGTTTTCCGTCCAACTATCTATCCGCAAATCCACGTTTGCTCCGACACAGCTGGATCGATTTTGACTGGAATTTAGCTGATATATACGCTCATTTTTTTCTTCCGCGCTGTCGAAGTTACGAGCGACCGCTACTTCATAAAACAGAACGAGAGGTGAAGTAATTATTCCGCGTTCATTTCCTTATTCATATATTTTATCTGGTCATTTGACACAAAAGGCAGTGTTAAAGGGGAATCTTGTGACATGTAATCATGTCGTAATTTAGTCCGCAAGTGGACAAAATAACACGTTTCATGCAACACACGATTTCATTAGCAAAGGTTCCCTGTGATGTTTCGTAGGCCGTGATTTTCACCGTCAGAGCTTTCCATCTCGTATCTCACAGATCGCAGTTTCTCAGTCAACGCTCGGATGCCGTCGTGTTCGGACGTTCCTCCTCCTTTAGAAATCTTTGAAGTTGTATCGAACGAAGAATGAATCGTAAAATTATTTAAATTGAATATTATTTCACAGTTATTTTCTTGCACTAAATTTTTACTTTATTTTTAATAAAATTGTTTTTTTTTAATATTGTGAGGTCGTGATTATTTTTGAGACTATTTTAAAAATAAAGTTTATTTTTGCTAGTAAAGTGAATACACAAAAAAAAACTGTAAGAATTTCCATAATTTTTTTTTAATATACATCTGTTTCCGTTGGACTTTTCACAAAAACAGGATGTAATGTAAGTACATTTAACATTTTATTAGTATAATTTACAAACAAACCTGGAGCTTTATATTTGCACCGTAATATTACGCACACGTTTATTTATTTTTAAAAACAAGCGCACTATGAAATATCGTTTTTTATGTATTATATTATGTTAAAAGTTTTGTTTATTCTATTAATATTGTATAAGTAAAGAGGCTGTCATATTTGAGTACAATTTACGATAATGTTATGAAATAAAACTCCCCTCTTTAAATGTTTAATTTTTAAAAATAATAGAGTAAGTTATCATTAATAAATTCAAGCAATTAATTAAAAAATAACCAGTAAATTCATGTTTAATTATGATATTAAAATCTTTATACCTTTCGAAATAAATATTCAGAAAAAAATATCTTATTCATTGTATTGTTATCGTAAAATAAAAAGGGAACATTCAGGTTTCAGTTTAATATAAAGAAACCAAAGAAAAAGGCTTCAAAAAGCGAAGGGAATTTTTCTTTTGTCTATAAAAATGTGTTACAATTTTAAAAGAAATATTTTAACAAATGAACACTTAGATTTGACTTTTCATTTTAATAGATATTTTTAGGTTTATTTTATTTGTGATGAACAGTAATTTTATTTGTACATATCTACCGTCTACTTAAAGCCTGTGACTCCGTCCGCGCAGAATAAGAAAAACTTAATTAGTTGCCTATGTGTTTGTCCAGACTATGCCACATTTCAGCGTGATCTATACAGCAGTTCTGGAGATATCTTCTAACAAACATCCATTCATACGTCCAAACATTCGCATTTATAATATTTGTAAGATGTAAAAAAAATCTCTATTTCCCTTGGTCATCGTATCACGCCTGAATGGATGGAAAATTTTCTATATCTTATTTACTTAGATATGTTTATTATTTTGAAGTACTAACAGATTAAAAAATACAGAACGCGGAACATTAAATATCCAAACGTAAGACAGGACATCGTCTGTCGGGTCAGCTAGTTAAATATATAAATGACTTTTTTAGTACATGTCCGCTCTAAATTAAATATTTAACATAAGAAAATAAACTTTCAGTAAGACAATGTTTAAGAAACCATACAAAAACTAGGGGAGTATCAAAAAATGCTATGCATATATTATATTACAAAAACAACAATATAACTCACGCCCGTAAGCCAGAGGGGTAGACAGAGCCCACGGAAGTTCTTTTGGTATACTCCTGGATTCTCTCGCTTCCTTTATTAATCTCAACTAAACAACCAAAATTTACAAGATGTATTTATTTGTTTCTCTATAAAACAGGAATCCTTCGATTGTCTTACACTTTAGCACTAAAAAGGTTTTGAATAATAAATCATTATTAGCAATAGAAGCCGCTTTATAGCTTATCAAACTTTAAGTCGACTTAAATGTCATGTCTATAAAGAAACTTCCAATATTCCATGCCTGTGACATTCTCTAGTTTACATTAAGTTTCTCATTCTTGTGGCGTCAACTGGGGTGAATATTGACAGGCTCTCCGCCCACCCACACACTGGTTAGTTGGCAACACGTTAATTAAGATGAGCAATTAATAAGTCGATTTTTATATTAAAAGTTGGCAAACACGCCTCCTTCATTCGCCAAAATAGCGAACCACTTTAATCGACGGAGGAGACGCACATGAAGAGAATATTTCCCCTCCTGTTCGTTCTATCAAATCAACCTCCCCCTTCCCATCCTTCCCTTGAACCGAGAAAGGACTAAAATTAGGCATCCGGAGTGAGTCTGTCACTTGGAATCAACGTTTTAAGATAATTAGAAAGTTTAAACCACTTGTATGCTCACGAGGTTTCTCCATAAGCAGAGTAAATAATAAAACCAGATTACTCGACACTGGCCCAATCTGCTAAGGGAGGGTCATAATCAAGAAACTGAACTGTGTCTGCCACCTGGCGAACAGAGGTTGAATTTTTATAGCAACGTAATTGCCAGTTATCAGTGAACTCAATGTGTACCGTCATCGTGGCAATACTGCTGTTATATTAGCGATATCTAAACATGACTTGCCAAATTTATTTGATAAAGCTGATATACCTCATTATGACCCAGCTATGACGTGCCACTTTGTATGTGATTGGTGGTCGCACTAGTGAAAACAATACATGTACAATCGCACGAAAAGTGCGTTAGTGTTTAAGGTCTTATTTCTACTAGCAATTAGCGGCTGCGTTTTAGACTTGAATAACTACGAGTTGCCAATTAATAAGTTGAAATTAGATTTTGGAACGAAACAATGTCAATAGAAGTGGCTTCATTATGGAAAATAGCTAAAACTTAACGGCTGATAAGTACCTAAGTGACCGATAAATAGAAGGAGTTTGAAACAAAGTTGTTAGATCTATAGAACAGCGATGACTAACAAATTTTAGTTCGAATTTCAATCCTTTGTGTTGTAAAGTAGTATAAGTTTAAAACTTACAAACTTAAACTTAAATCTTCTTATCCTTTTCTTCGTGCATGCCATAAGGATTTGAGTTATCTTTAGATTGTAACAAACATAATATCATACTTATTACATCTTACTAATACGAGAAATAATACTTATGAGTGCGAATGCGGACAGATGAATTTTTGTTTGAAAGTATTTCCAAAACGGTTGCATGGATCTTGCTGTAATTTGACATGGATGTAAAACACAGACTGTAAGAACACATAGGCTACTAATTAAGTTTATTTTTCAGTTCCACACGGACGGAATTGCGGGCGACAGCTAGTATAAATACTAGTACTATACATATTGTTATTTGGATATATATATGTCTCCAAAACTACATTAGTTCTTATAATTTGCATTTTCTCATTTGTTTAAGTATGTTTCAAATGATACCTCTCTTTGGATTCACCCAAGATTATGATCTTATTTAAAAACTATCATTTGAGGCTTTTAAAATTAAGAAACACGTTCAAGATTATATTTCATAAAAATATTGGTTAATTAGGAAAGTGACTGACAGGCAATTTGAAATTCATTAATATTTTTTATCAACCAGAATCAAATCGCAGCTCCGGGAATTGGACGACAATTAAATAGGACTGTACAATGGTAATAGCAACTTTTATTCGTTTCGTTTTGCTCCCGACCTTTGATTATTGAAGCGATCACCAATTACGAAATATTTAAACTGCTATTTCTCATTTTAATTAGCTATTTAAATGAACAAAAAATATTTTTACATTTTATTAAAAAAACGACTTGCCATCGAAATTAATAATTACATCTTTTCGTTTGCATCGTTTTAATATTTTTTAACAAAATTATTCGGAATCGAATATCATTTGATTTACTATTGGCTGATTCAGAAAGGAAATTTCTTGTTAACAATTATTACTGCGAAAAACTCAGTATACATTTAATTGTAAATGATATAAATACGAATGTTTGGATGGATGATTGTTTGTTACAATGTATAATATTTTCAGAACAACTCAACGGATTTCGATGAAATTTGACATGGATGTAGAACATAGTCTGGAAGATCACTTAGGTCATTAATTAAGATTTTTTTAATTCTGCGAAGACAGAGTCGCGTGTGACTGACTAGGGCTTGATTCCACGGCATCGATCATTAGTTTCGGAGTTACTAGCGGCATTTCACACAATCATGGACATCGCTGTTTCCATGGTACAGCCCGACCTTTGTCCGTCTATACAAATATGTGCCGTGGAAACGCACCATTAGCACACAACAGACACATTCACCGTTTGAATAGAACAGCTTAATTAGAACACGAATGCCACTGGAAAAATTCAAATGCGTATTCTTTGATGCGAAGTAGGTCAGGTGTTTTGGGCCGAGTATGAGGACCGGCTGTAAGTAGCAATACTACAACTTTACAGGGGAAAAATAGACAAATGAGATGGTTTTTCGTATTTAATTCTAAACTTGATGGTATAAAAGAGTGACATCGTGATTAGGTTAAAATCGAAATTTAATATTAAATTGAGGACATAGTTTATGGAAAGTCCTTACCTTGACATTTGATGCAACAGAAATAAACAAATGAAATCATAAGAAAATCGACTTGTTTTGTTCGACTTTTTTTATTTTTTCCCGGATGAAGAAGAGTCTTTGTAATGGTAGAGTTTTTGAAATCGACTCCGAAGTTTTTGAGTTCTAATATAATACTTTCCTTTCTAAAGTATTGTATATCAAAGTGTGTATACTAAAGTTATTAATATTTTAATAACAAAATTCAAGACATACAAAAAATAAAACTCATAAAAAGTTTTGAAAAAATAATGGAAAGCGAAGTCTATAAGAATAGGGCACGTGTTGTAATTTGACAAGATCTTATACAGTACGTTTCGGAGATGAAAAACTTCAGAAAGTTTTTCTATTATGAAACATTATTATTAATATTAAATTTAGGACGGAAAATAAACATTATTTTGGCCGAAGTATTAAAGGTCGTTGTGAAGGTTATTACAATGACCAATGAAATAAAATGTGAATAACTCAGAATATTAGCATCTGAAACTATTATATTTTGGTTTTTTAGCATATTTCTCCGTGTAGTTATCGATCTGGCTATGCACTATTACCGTTTTATCGTTGAATTATGGGACACGCTGTATATGTAACAAAACATGGGTAATGTTGTCCTGTCTATTAAATCAAATGGTTTCGATTGAAACATATAATGTAGTACATGCACAATTTGTTGAACATAGAAGTTACACATAAAGAAGAAATATAAATCAAATATTAGGAAGATTATATTTTAGGAATTACAAAAAGTGAATTAAAAATTATATTTGTTTATGGCGCGGTGCTTTCTGAATCTGTGTCATGGCTACCGTCTGCTATACCGACAACACGGTATCGTCACGTACAATTTGAATTGCGCAAATAACGCGCAATCCCCCATGACGATTACACACTAATTTTAATTGAATTTACAATTTATAGTGCTTCTCAATCTATACATATAAATAAAATTGGTGTGTCTGTTTGTAATATTGAAATATACCT